GTCTGGTCTGACTCGGAAAGAGAACCAGGGTGCGCAGTACCGTCACCACCCTCTTCGCGCTTGCCGCAGGCCTCCTAAAGGCATGCATCTGGAACAGGAGGACATTGTTGGTCTCTCAGTGTCCACTGATTCAGGAGCTGTTACTCTCAGACAGCTGGACACACAGTTAGTGTCACTGAAGAGACAGGTAAAGTGCAACGCATCAAATCACAATGGGTTTGGTAGTGTTTGTAAATCTGAGAGACTCGCAACTGAATATACGATGGAGGAGTTTGTGTGCTACGCAAGTGTTCAAAAGTTTGGAATCAGTACGTTTTTTTTTTTTTTTTTTTATTCAGCAAGGATTGATCAAATGGACATTTTTATTTAAAAAATAACACTATTGATCAAATAAAAAAAATCAAATAATCCTAGAAAAATTTATTTCTATAAAAATATTAAACAGCACAGCTGTTTTCAAAATTGATGATAAATGTTTCATGAGCACCAAATCAGCATAATAAAGTGATTTTAATCATGTGGATCATGTGACACTAAAAATTCAGCTTTGCCATTACAGAAATACATTTTAGAGCGTATTAAAATAGAAAACAGTTCAATTTAAATTGTAATAACATTTCACAGTATTAATGTATTCTTGATAAATGCAGCTTTGGCGAGACAAAAAAAAATGTACTAATGGAAATATAACTACACAACAATCACCACTTAGAAAATGTTTGCCTCTCTGTTTTCCTTTTAGGTCCAAAGTGTCAAGCAAACCAATAGCGTTCTCAAGCACAACTTGGGTGATGGAATCGAAGGCTTAAGACCATCAGAGGTACGTTTCTACCCACATTGCTCTGATATACAAACTACAAACATTTATCATTTACACTACATTAAAAAACTGGCATACATGTAGAAGTTAAAAAAGCAAGACATTATTAAATCCATTTAATGTATTTTGACAGTTTGAATGTACAGGCTTAGTTTCTGAGATACTGATAAGGCCTAATTGCATAATATTTTTAAAGTTCAAGTTTTTTTTTTTCCTCTAAGAGCTTGCCAAACCTGTAAGTAGATTCTGGGCAAAATGCCAATGTTATGCTACATGATAATGTTTCTCCCTGTGCTGCATTTCCGTCAGCCCACCCAAAAAATCAACTCTCGCTGGACAACGGAGGAGCAACTCCTGGCTGTTCAAGGTGAGCTGGATTATTATCTCTTAATTCCTATGATCCCTGAATATACATGTAGCATTTAAAACGAATGGCTTTAATTTTGAGTGTTTTCAGTGTTTAGACAAAATAGCATAGAACTTTAATATCAGCTATTCATTGGTTATCAGGCAGAGCTGTAACATCATGCATCCCTGGTTAAAGCTTGTATAAAAAAAGAATGCTTCTGTAATGGCAGGTTTGAGAGCAGAGACCTTCGCAAAACTAAAGAACCCAAAAAGATCACTTCTTTACTTGCACAAGTTGATATCATAAAATAGAAGCTAAATTATCCAGCTAACCAATGAGTTAACATAAAATGTATGGTACAACTAATATCTGTCCTAAAAATATGGTTTCAAGCTAAATTAGCGAGTACCTAGTCACCAGTATGCAATCTTTTATGACAGCGGGAGATTGATTAAATTTAGCATGAAATCAAAATGGAGAATTCTTATTGTTCATGGAATATTACAGTATTTATTATCAGTTATTTATCTTTGCACAATTTCCAGGTTCATGCTGATTTGACCAAATGTCATTATGCATGTGTATTCAGAGCAATACAAAGGGAATTCCTATCATGTACCTTGTTTCAAAGCAAGATACTACATACTGAATTAATAAGAGTATTATTCTGGTTGATTATTTTTGTTTAATTTTAAGCATTGCTGAGCAGTTTTTCATCCACATTCTCTCCAGCCGTCAGGCTATACGGTAAAGACTTTGCATCCATAGCGGACGTGATTGGCAACAAGACGGTGGCGCAGGTCAGCTCATTCTTCGTCAGCTACCGGAGACGCTTCAATCTTGAGGAGGTGCTACGTGAATGGCAGGCAGAACAGGAAGTGGTGCAAGGGGGTAGCGGGAGGACCGTGAACATGGAGCTGAACGGGTCGTCAGATGATGAGGTGAGAGAGAATGAGGAAAAAGAATTTGTCAAGGCTTTTGAATAGGACGTGTTCCAGCAGGCAGGGCTTATTTATCTTAGAGATAAAAAACGGTTAACAACAATAGAGGAATTCATTTTCTCTTTTCCATCGTTCTTTGTTGTTACAGGTGAAGATGGATGGCGTCTCTCCGCCTCATTCTGACAGTCCACTGCCCTCTTCTGATGTTAGTGTGGCTGCGAACCCTAACTCTGCCCAGTCCTCCCCACCCCTCACTCAACCTCCACCCTTACTGCGCCCTGCACCCCCTAGCCTGCTGCGCCAGCCTCCCCCGCTACAGACTCGACCTCTACAAAACCGGACGCCCCACAATCACCCTCCCCCTCCTCTCATCAGACCCGCAGTGGTGTCCTCACTCCACCAGGGGGCACTGAGGAACTCTCTAAGTTCCTCCTCTGCCTCTGCTGGACAGCTGCCACCCTCACTAGTGGGGCTGAAGGTGGAATCCCCCCAGTCACACTGATCGCCATGTAGTATTTGCCCTTTTATAATGGTTTAAGACACCCAAATAGTCATTTAACAGAGAATTTGTTTTTACATCGCTGTAAAAGGGCAATGTGTAGTAATGCCTCTCAAATATAGGAAAAAACCCCGAGGTGAACTGGAAGCAAAGCTGGACATGCACCAAAACACACATTTAGCAAGTCAGGAAGGATTCAACTATACAGTGTGATTCGCTTCTCCACTACAGGACCAAGGAGAACCCTCCATAATATTCATGCATATAAACCACAGTCTTGCCAAAAAACAAACCCATCTGTCCTCAGGTTCTACAGCTTTACCTCGTGAACAGTCTCAAGCACAACAGCTTCCACTGTAATTACAGCTATTGAATCACCTTCTGTAATAGATGCTCAGCGGAAGTTGGAAGTTTAACCAAAATTGTGGGGTAAAAACCTTATACACTGGAATTAAAAACTGCCACGAAACGGACTTGTGCGAGTTCCTTCCACCATCTCTATGGCAACGGCTGCATATCATCTAGTGTGCATGACTACAGGCACTAGTGAGTGTTCTGAAGTGCACCTGGTGTCAGGAAACTTTGTGTATACTCACTCTCCCAGTGAAGAGCCATGTTGATAGTCATACTGGGTGAAGCGGCTTTGTTGTTTGTATAATTAGGTCTTTAAGATATTGTTAGGTAGTGAATTTATGTAGTACTAGTTAATATTGACTAAGCACTAAGTGATGCAAAAGACTTGATTTTTTTTTTGCAACTCTGGAATACACTGATTTCATCTCGCTCTTAAAGGCACAAACACAGAGGCATCAAAACACTAAAGATGATTCCCGAGGAAGCTCGTGCAAGAGTTCTCGTTTCTTCCAAAATGTTGTATGTACATGAGAACCGTTTACATGTGAACTGGATTTGCTTGTGACTATTTTTGTTTTAGATTTTTTTTCAAAATAAAGTGAAAATGACCAAATGATTTTGTTGTTATTCTGCAGATATTTTACATGCTATGTACTGACCTTTAATTTAGAGCAAGAGAAACTGGGGAGTGACTTTATTGTGCCAGAGATGTCTTTTTTTTGTTCACAGCTGATTGGTTCAGGTTCTGTTTGAGATCTTTTATCCAGAACATTGACCTGCCTCAGAGCAGGTTAGCCGTGGAGCGCAAGTTATGGTGATGAACACCCTAAAAGATGCCCAAAACCATGAAAGTGACTTGGCGAAAAATAAATTGAAACTTACCTGGCTAGCCAGCTAATCCGGTATAGGCCCCAGGTGTGATATGACACATTTTTAGTAATTTTGTACACAACATATTAAGCACAATTATTTGTAACCCATTAACCAAATTTAATATCGGTTTAATTCTCCATTCTGTTTTCTAAAGTCCGACACCTATGATAGCTGTAGCTCTAACAGTAAGAAATAAAAATCAAATCTGCCCATTTTACAAAATACTTTGTTTTCAAGAAGCACAGCCGTGTTTTCGGCTTACAGCTGTGTGAACGGAACCGTACTGGACAAAGTCATTCAGCGCGAGTGAACCACTTTGTTTTAGGCACACGCGTTTTGTGTTGGTTGAGAGTTTTCAGGGGTGCTTTTAGTAACGTACAGACTTTGAGATACGAGATGTCAGGTTTTCAGCTGCAGTCACCGTGTTCATCCGCAGTGTTGTGGTTTGAGCGCGACTCAAACGGTCAAGCTCCTCTGCTCAAGTATGTTATACATAAAAGCCGCTGTTGGTTTATTAAGATTTGAGCGATATGTACTCGTGTGTCACCTATGATGTAACTTTCCAAAGTAATAGATGTCGCCATATTAAATATTTATATAACTGTCACTGTGGTTATGATACTCACGACAAGCTTGAGAACCAACAAAGGGGACTGGCATCAGCTCGTTGATCCACTTGCGAATGCTGTATTTAAGGGGAAAGTTTTAAGACTCACGTCTGTTATTAAATACGGTTGTCCATTCCAAACACATGCACTCAAAAACAAGTTTGTATTCGTAAATATTACCCTCCCGCCCCGCTGTGTTAATACAACAGGTCCTCCGTTTTTGTTAGGGGTCAAAATGAATCACTTGATCTTTTTTTCTTCTTATTTTTACTGACTCTTTACTGTTTTTAAATTTGTTAATTTTTGGCAAATTACATGGAAACAGATGGGGTAACCCGCTGACCCCTGATACCAGGGTAGACAAAATTCGTACAGCTTTTCCAAAACACATCTTCACATTCATGACCCCAAATGAGGAAAAAGTCACACTTCAACAATACGCAAACACTTCATCCAGTTTTAAAGCAGTTTAAATGTAGGTCAAATTGACCCCATCACAAAAGTACGGGTTACGTAAATAAAAAGTAATAGATAATATTTAAATTTCTTAAGGTTTTAGTACTGCGCCTATATAAATATATGTTTTCCTCATAATAATCAACCTTAATATGTTTCTCATACAGTATAAATGGTTCCTTCTAAATTGAAATACATAGCTGCTTTTATAGTTTAGGTTAGGATCATCGTACATGGGGATCCTCAAAAAGCTTGGAAACCCCTTGTTTAGGACAACATATATATATATATATATATATATATTTAACTCAGATTTATCTTGGTTAGGACCAATTGTTACTATATGCCAATTACAAACAAGTATATCAAGAGCTTAGATTAGCAATCAAGCATATCATATGCCACAAATAGGTATATTAAATGTCAGAACATACTGCATTAGTTTTAATACAGTCAGCTTGAATTTAATTGTTTTATTACTATCATTGATCATAATCATCTTTGCACAAAAAGAAAAAAAAAAAACATCTGGTGTATTTCTATGCGAACCCCCCTAACCCAACAGCAAAGAGTCTGACACAAATAATAAAATTACAGCAACGAAAAACTTGTGTGAATAAAAACAATCAACCCTGAAGAAAAATAAACGATACTTAAGATAATTGGATCCCAGCACCTTGAACAAATGATCATTTGTGAGAACAGCAAAGTACATGACAAAAAAAAAAGATAATCATTATTTTCTATGAAGGTATAAAACACACATGTGCACAGTTGTCCCCCAAAACTGGTGACGGACTTTTTAAGGAGATCTGATCCCAACCCCCTTCCTCTTTACACAACAGAGGTGACAGTGAGCCCGATGTCAACTAGAGGATGCATGCAAGCATGTACAGCTCAGCAGAAATGGATGGAAACACACTGTGACTCTCTAGCTCATAGTCAGTGTACCTTTTTGCTCTCTTTTACGCAGACACATCTGCAGGTTGGTTCCCATCTGCTCGAATGACTGATCTGCTTGTGTGAGAATGACATCCGAACTGATTTTAATAGTGAAAATAATGCCAACAAAATATTGGAATTAACAGAACGCCAATATTTGACTCTTCATGGCAGGTACTTGTTGTCTCAAGGCTACGTATTAATAGTCTCTGCATTGAATATGAAACTAAGCGAGCCTTTTGGTTATTCAGACATGACACTCCATCTCTCACACATACATACACATTCAATCACGACACGTTTTCATAAAGAGTGTACCACCAAATGCGTAACGCCAAAAAGCCACCCGCAGACGAGACCGAGGTGGAAAGTTCTTGGCTTGAACCATGAAAGGTGTTGGATGCAGAGAAGAGCTCGACATCAGTTCCTTAGTCACGAAAATGGCATGGGAATGATTAGTTGCAACGATTGAGTCCTTTAATGTCTTTTCCAGTGACTTTTTTTGTTTTAAGTGTGAGGGGAGTACTTGCTGCCCCATAATCCTTTGCGACAAAGCGGGGCGAGAGTGTGAAAGGTTCAGTGGGAGTCATGTGGTGCTTTTTCAGACATTCTTTATACAAAGGCATAGCACGATCAATAACACGAGACCACAAAAAAAAAAAAAGAATTTGTTTTTCCTAGGAATAATATTAAAACATAATCATTGGTAAATACAACAATGAAACATTTAATTTCTATAAGAAAATAAAAAAGGCAACATAAATTCACCCATTCCAGTGCAGCAAATCTAAACCCAGCCGATTAAGTATTAAAATCACCTTAACCAGAATTTACAATCCTCAGTATTGATCAAATTCTGGCTCTTACTGAACAACGGTGAGGCGTAACCCTGTCGATAGAAGAAGAGGAAGAAATAAACACAGAGAGAGAGAGAGAGAGAGAGTTTGTGTGTGTCTCTCTTAAGGGGGCACAAACTTCTGTCCTAAACTGCCCACCTCCACCCTGTGAATACTTTAGGGCCACCCCTCTTACAAGTTTGGCGTTTTAAGCTCTATCCCTTTCAATAGGCAATAGGTGCGTTTGTGTGCGAGTGTACAAAGAGAACGAAATGAGTTCAAAATTAATTTGTCACCTTTCTGAATTGAACATGTTCAGGACAATGAACCAAGAACCTGCAGAGATTACTCTTCCAAAACTCCTCAATGAAGGGCCAGTGTGCTGATACTTTTTCACTTTTCTCATCTCTTTCTCCTCTCACAGTTTCAGCTCGTTGGCGATTTTGGAGGCGATGTTTTTGAAGGAAATAGACGTCCCGGATATCCTCTTGAAGCGCACGCCGTTAAGCGAGAGGCGGGGCAGCTTGCACACCTCCATCTCCCATTGGACGAAGTCGTCGCGGGCAGGGTTACCAGCCATGCACAGCAGCATGTAGCGCTCGCGCAGCTCGTACTCGCAGCTGTTGGCGTCGAGAACCTTCCGAATCTCCTTCATCATCTCGCCGGGCTCCATGGAAGACGTGGTCTTCATGCTCCAGGTGAAGCGGAGTGAGCGAGGCTTCGCCTGGTCTCTAAGTGAGGACACGGGAGCGGCCGGAGGAGTCCCGCCCCCGGGGGAGGAGTCTTTGTTGTCGTCTTCCGGCCCTACGCTGGTCTTCTCCGACTTCTCTGCGCTGCTGAGCATAGATCTGTAGAGACAGGGATGGAGAGAGAAGGATGGAGGTGGGGGAGGTTGAGAGAATGTCGGTAGGGGGTGAACGAGGACAGAAAGGAAGGAACGAGAGAACAAAGAGGATGTGGGAAGGTGCGTGGCAGAAAAGTGAGAAATCGTTGAGAGACAAAAAAGAGGGTTGAGGGAAATTGAGGGTGTTGAAGAAAGAGAGAGAAAGGATGAGGCAGTGGACATGGTTGGAGAGAGACATATGGCAATAAACAACTGGAAAGCATGCATGCATCCGTTTGTGTGCAAATTGATGTGGCGCAAACACATGGAACAGTGAAAGGCTTCTGCTTCAAGCGACACCTTTCATTTATTAGGCATTCTTGTATCTGCCGTGCTAAGGATGTGAAGTCGCACCTCACATGCTTAAAGTAGAACGTTTTATTGACTCTCGAGTGAATATGACAGTTGCGGGAGGCCTGAGCCTGTTCAGCTTCATGTTGAGCCTTTAAGAAGCTCTAAATCTCCCTCTCATAAGAAGACTAAATATGACTTGGTTTGTTCAGTTGACTTAATGTTGCTCAGTGACAAAAGCAGAATTGGGTTCAGCTGGGTAAGTATGCTAGTCAAAATAAAGAATGCTTCAAGCTGCCTTCAAGTTCTGACAAATGTGGAAAATGATGTGACTTTAGTTTTTAGGAAAGATTTTAGGAAGATTTTTACTACAACAAAATGAAAAAATAAACAATGCACATTAGGTGCGCAACTGATACTTTATCTACACTATCTTTCAAAATACTTTTATTCAGCAAGGATGCATGAAATTGATCAAAAGTGACAGTAAAGTCTTTGACTGTCACAAAAATTATTTAAAAAACAAAAACAATTATTTTTTTGCTTTCTATTCATCAATCCTTTTTATTTCAATTCGAAACAAGTATTAAGCAGCACAACTGTTTTACATTGATAATAAAAAATCATTTCACAATATTAGTTATTACTGTATTTTCGATCAAATAAATGCAGCATTGGTGAACAAAAAAATGAAAACAAAATGTAATGACTCCAAACTTTTGAAAAGTAGTGTACTTTAAAATGTACGCGCTTTTACGTAAGAAGTATTTTCTGGCAAACGTCATCACTATTCATCATCAGCAGTACCCAAAATGCCTATAAACTAAATTGTACTATAAAAATTCACAATTAAAACTTAATTATGATTATTTCTTTAATTGTATCAGGATTGAAATGAAGTCAGTAATTATATTTTTATGGTGGTGCCTATGCATGTTAAACTCATAACTATATGATCGTATGACTTGAAGGCAACATTGCATTCGTAATACAATACTAGTACTTCTTTTGGTTCCTGTTCATGGTGATGCTCAAAATATCTGTGACAAAGTGCAGGTCCGAATTGAGAAGTAGTGCAGATGTGTTCACAGAATTAAAGATTTGATTATTATAAGCAGTCCCCAAGCAGAAAACTTTCAACTGTGCATGCGTTTGCCATGTAGAAACAGAGAGACAGGCAGTAATCTGAAATGTATTCATTGTAAACAAACTTAAGACACAAATTATGACTCAATTAAAAATCAAAACACATCCCAGGTACTCCCACACATACACACACGATCATCCACACTGCAATTAATCCTCCAATTAGATCCCACTGGGTAACTACCAGAGGCGGACAGTAACTAAGTACATTTACTTGAGTATTGTACTTAAGTACACTTTTTGAGTATCTGTACTTTACTTGAGTATTATTTTTTCTGGAAACTTATGACTTTAACTTCACTACATCTGAAAGACAAATATTGTACTTTTTAATCCACTACATTTCTATCAAGATCCTCAAAGTAGAAAGTCGTTACCATGTAGCAGTTTGAAAGTCAGTGGGTGATTTTTTTTTCTTCTCTAAAACTTGACTTTCTTTTTTTCAGACAGTTTATCAGTAATCACTCTTGCAGGGCTACATAAAGTAATTTCTCAGCATTTTTTGAACACCGACTGACCAGTTGCAAATGTGATATTTATTTACAACAATTCAATAATAAGAATTTAATATTGTGGTTTATATTAGACACAATATTTTCTGATTTTGCTAAATTGTGTAAGTGAAAATATGACCTATAAAGCCACAGAAGAACTGTTGTGCGTCTCCTAATAAAACACAATAGGTGTTGGACTTGAAGCAGCACTGCACAGACCGTTCTGTGTGGGACATCAAAGTACAACGAGAGCGATTAGACAGCATTTTTTACATTTTTGTTTTGATGTCAAATAGGTCTTGCTGTTTTGCTTTTTTGTTAAAGCAGTGTTGCTGTTGGAAAGTTGTACAGCTACAGTTGTGTTGCTGGGTTTTAAAGGGGTCATATGATGCGATTTCAAGTTTTCCTTTCTCTTTGGAGTGTTACAAGCTGTTCGTGATCTTCCTTATCACTCTGTATTTACAGGATTTCACTGTCCACTCTGTTCAAATGTGGATGAATGGCTACACATAAATGTGTGCACACACTGTCAGAGCTGTGTGAGAACACTACCATCCTGCTTTTGTGGAGGTGGGTAGGGGGTGTTAATTTTTTTTCCCCATTGGTTTTTAACATTCTAAAAGCTCTTTATTCCAAAGATACTACAAGCTAGTCAGTGTATTCAGAAGGTGTAATGTATTTTAAGTTGCTTCAGAAGTATTGCAAGTATTACATACAACAATAAAACATTGTGCATTGACATAAAAAAGGAAATGTACTTTTGGTACTTAAGTACTTTTAAAAGCATGTACTTCTGTACTTTTACTTAAGTAAAAATCTGTCTTTACAACTTTTACTTGTAATGGAGTAATATTTGACCAGCAGTATCTGTACTTTCACTCAAGTAATGGAGTTGAGTACTTTGTCCGCCTCTGAACTACTAATATTTGTTAAAAACCAATTATCAACCATTTAAAAGCCCCTTTGCTGCCCGATTACACCTCCTAAAGATCTACTGATTAGGTCTGATGAAGAAATCCTTGTTTTGTTCTCACCTGATCCCCTCCTCTTGACCCTCTCCCTCATAGGGGCTCCTCGAAAAAAATTCAAGAGTTTAGTCTTAGTCTGAGTTCTAGTTTAACTCATTCAGTACAGTGAACAGGAAGGGGAAGGACTGTCTAGCACCACATGAGCTTATGAAATCATTTACCCCTCTAGAACCACCACACTCCACTGATTCACTTGTTCATTCCTATTTTAAAACTAATTTCAATGCTATTTATGCAGTGTATCATCTGTAGCCTCCTGCCCACAAAAGAATCACAGCAGTGATGTTATACATTCAGTACAACAGCGTAGTACCCTGTGTGATATTGCTTTGATATATTATTTTTTTTTACAAAAAAATGCACACTCACACAGTTACTGAGCTGATCTACTGTATGCAACTGGAACTGTGCATGTGTAATGCCAATGAACAGATGAATCAGACAGACTGCTTCAGTAACATGAAGTGGGGTGGAATGATGCAGGTCTGTCCAAGACGCTCTTAAGGATTCTACAGAGCCCCATCACCATGGTAACTACTCGCATCCAACAGTCACCTGCCCCTATAGTCTGTCTGGTCGAGCATACAAGCATCCCGAACACGCCACCAGACACACAAACAGACAAACAGCCCCTTAGCAAACTGACAATACCGTCAGAGCCCTTATGCTAAGAGTCACATTAAAAAAACGCCACACAGAAGGCAGAAACACACCAACTCAGTCACATGGACAGACAGTGAGACAATGAAAGAAACAGCTCAGGACTTTGTTAGTGCGTCATAACAAATGGTTAAAAAAAAACGAGCAAAGCAGCATTTGAGCTGTTTAAGCACTGAAAGAAACATGAGCCATTACTTTTGACGAATCAAAGAATTCAAAGAACAGTTGGTCACCAAAAGACATGAAACACAAAATACAGGCTTCAGGTTTGACCACCAGAGGGCGCAAAGACATATTTCCTTTAATAAACTGCTCGCTTACGCCCTCTGTTGGTCTCTAAAACGATATAAGCACCTCGCATCACTTTAGTTAGCAAAACATGAACACAGGTTATCAACATAATCATGTCAGTGGAAGAAAATGACTTTGTTAATTCAAACTCCATGTTTTTGTGCCAGTGGCCCAAGTGGTTAGTGACTTCAGACAGATGGTGACGTCCATTCGCCAGGTGCCTGTGTGTGAGTCATCAGTCAAACAGATTCTGACAATGCCGCATAAACAGAGAGAGAGCAGTGCGATGGGGAAAGTTTGGTTTTAGGTGTTTGAGCAGGACAAAGCCTGACAGCTGGCCGGTCTCAGCTCCTGTAGCTGTTGTCATTGTTAATGAGCAAGTGAAAGAAAGAGAGAGGAAACGCTTCTGAAGACATTCTGCACAAGATAACCATTCTTTATCCATCAGTCTTTGTCATCCTTTAACCGTTTTCCTTTTACATTTCCAGCTCAAAAAATACCTGATATTAACATTTATCTTTACAATGGCAGCCTGCCTTTAGCATAACAACATACTTTCTAGAAGTGACATTTAGATGATCATAATTTTTTGCTCAGTTATTCAAGCGATGACTTCCTCTATGAGCCAAAATGAGGAAGACATGGTGTAAACGACCTGTGCCAAAACAATTGCGACATACACTAGCGTTCAAAAGTCTCTTATGCTCACCAAGGCTGCATTTATTTGATCAAAATACAGTAATATTGTGAAATATTATTACAATGTTTTCTATTAGAATATACTTTCAAATGTAATTTATTCCTGTGATGGCAAAGCAGCCATAACTCCAGGCTTCAGTTTCACATGATGCTTTAGAAATCATTCTAATATGCTGATTTGGTGCTCAAGAAACATTCATATTTTTATGGTAACCGCGATCTTTTTTTTTTTTTGTTACAGGATCATTTGGTGAATATAAAGTTAAAATAAACAGCAGTATAGAAATCTTTTGTAAGACTACAAATATCTTTACTGTCACATTTGATCAATTTTATGCATCCTTGTTGAATAAAGCAATTCATTTCTTTCAAAAACCCATACAGACCCAAAACTTTTGAACAATAGTGTATGCAAGTAACTGTGCTTGTGGATTTCTTTTTCCATGACACCATATCCTTTTAGCCGTCTTAATTTTGACATCAGGTCCTGTTATCAAAGCCCTGTGTTATTCGAGCAGGCAGAGACACTAGTCACACAGAATCTGGGACATACAGGTGAGGTCACCAGATAAATTGACAGGGAGGGGAAATAAAAGGATGGAGACGGGGAGGAAAGGTTACTGTGGAAAGTTGAGGACGGTGGTTTTTTTAGGGCTGAAGTTGGTCGTTAGTTCTGGTCATGACACTGCACACAAAATAAACCAGGAAAAAAAGGGCCAATCACAGAACACACTGAGGGATGTAGACAAGGAACAGGGAAAGAGAAATAAAAAGGTCAAAACAAGCCTTAAACAAAGGGGGGTTAGGGTCATCGTTGCCTACCTTCTGGGGAATCTGAGTGACAGATTTCTACAAAACAAAAGTAAAAGAAAAAAGAAGAAAAAAAAGGAAAGAAATGTATATATGTAAATTGAAGAGGAAAAAGGCAAATGAAAATGTCAAAGTGGTCGGGTTGCCCTGGACACAGCAACAATCAGTCTGGGGTTATCGGTTTAAACTGTACAGAATGAGCAAATAACATTAGTAATCTGGGTCACTGCATGCAATTAAACTATTAAGTCAATTATTAACACGCATAAAAGGGTTGGAATGCTTACACAAACTAAGTAGAGCTAAACCGCCTAATCTGAAGTATTGTTAAAGCCAACATGAAATCAAAACTGACCCAATTTACTTAATTCATGGCACAATAAGACTGGAAATTTAGTACATGTGCACAGTTAATCATTGCAAATGACACTAAAGAAAAATAAATTGTCTTCGTAACTTTTCATCATTTAGCTCCACCTCTGAAATGACTAACCTTCATGACTGGCATAGGCCGCTCAGGGGGTGAAAATAACATTAACCAATAGCCAGTAGTTACTGTTTCAGACATACTGTTGTAGATAATGCAGCCTTGCCAATAAAAAAAATCTAGCCAAATGTTAAAACAGTAATTTCATAGCATATTACATTAATATACACTACCATTCAAAAGGTTTGAGGTTGGTAAGATTTTTATTGTTTTTGAAAAGTCTCTTATGCACATCAAGGCTGCAGTTATGTGTTTAATAATACAGTAATATTTTAATACTCTGTATTTTTAATACTGGTTAATAGTTTAATACTATTACAATTTAAAATAACTGTGTTCTATTTTAATATATTTGAAAATGTCATTTATTCCTGTGATGGCAAAGCTGAATTTTCAGCGGCCACTGCTTCAGTCTTCAGTATCACGTGATAATTCAGAAATCATTCTGATATGCTGCTCAAGAATCATAATTACCCCAAACATTTGAATGGTAGTGTAATAAAAGTTGCAGATATTACCTATATTCAACAATAAAACTGAAACAGAGGCATTACCATTAAGGTATAACCAGATGCTCACATACATGCCTGGCCCCATTTTGGCATTTAATGCCCATTTTTCACTAATATTCTGTTTCATTTAGAAAAATATCATATTTCAGAAGTAAAACGGGTTGTGAATGTCATTTCATGTTGACCGTAAGAAGAGATGTTTACATTCATTTATTAAAACGCACACATCTTGTTCATGGCGAACCATTCCCACACTGGCTTGAACATATACACAAAAGGACACAAAAACAAACAGACAGATACACACGGACAAAATGCCATCTGTCATTTCACCCTTTCCTTTGAAATCTGAGACTGAACAGAAATGAAAGAATAATACTGAACATGTAGGTGTTCTTATGTTCCTCAAAGTGCAACTGAGATTTTTCATCTAGCAGTTTAAACACGAGTTTTGTGCTTTTGAAGAAGCAATACAGCACAATGTAAAGCTGTAAGTTTTTTGTAAACTGGCACTAGAGAGTGGATGCCAAGGTGTCCCCTCCACAAGTATTTATAGAGCAGGGGAATGCAATACCTCAGCTGTTACCAAGGATACTGTCGCCATGGAGGTGCGGACAAGGTAGATATGTGTGCTGGAACTTGGAGACAGAGATGATGAAACTGATGAGAAATCTGCATGTGTTTAAATGAGCCGAGATTCGTGTTGGGATTATGGGTAGTGACAGCACTTTGATTGCCTTATGAAGGCCTGACCTTGTGGGTGAAATGATGACAATACCCAAGACTCTGTTGAACATTGCGATTGCGTGTGCCGGCGTTTTGCAAGAACAAATCCACTTGTGAAGCTGTTTGATCACAGACGGACAACCAACCAGCATACTAACTGAATATAATGACAGACACCTATGAAATAACCCTCAGCAGGAGGTGTGAGAATGTGTTCGCCTTGTCTTCAAGTCTCTTTCTGTTATTTTTCATCATCACCTAGTCTATCTTTAACTGATGAAAATACCCGGCATTCATCACACTCATCCTCACACCACCACGCTCAGCCACAATCGGGCTTCTCGGGCTGTTAGCACCTCCTGAAATCAGTGACTTCCCCTGTCATTGCTTCAGCTCCATGTCAATCTACTGATTTATCCAACACTTGTTGTCTATCTCACCTGCGCACAAACTTGGAGGTGAACTTGCTGAAGATGCCGGAAGCCGCGGGTCGTCGTTGTTGGCTGTTGCCATGGGAGAGGGAAGGGGAGGCGGGGGCTCCGTGGTAAGGAGAACCCTGTTGGTCCCGTGCGCCCCGCTGCTGGCCGAGGTGGAAGGTGTTGCGGGTGGGCACCCCTCTAGGGAAATTGGTACGGTCCGTCCCAGCTGCGCTGCTGATATTGTGGGCTGATGGGGAAGCACCAGGTGCTCTCTGTGGGGGATCACTGTGACAAAGCCATTTTTCCCCAAAGAAAAGGAAAGAAAGATGAGGACATGGTAGGATCAGTATTTAAAGATGTATATTTACTTTCATTTTTTTTTTAATAAAAGTGATTTCAATAAATATTTAAATGCATTTTAAATGTTTTCCATTTAAATAAAATGGACATTATTTAAATAAAAAAATAGATAACCATTTATTTTAAAGTGTCCTTGTTGCACGTCATGTTACAATAAATTATGCATAATTATATGCATAGGAACATGTTAATATAACTCAGTACTTAAATATACAATTACACTGTAACAATGACACTGTAAAATAAAGTGTAAACTAAAAAATGAAATACATTTTAAAACCTTCATTAAAATTTTATTTTTAATGAAGGTTTTAAAATGTATTTAATTTTTTAGCTTACGCTTTATAAAAAAAATTAAATATGGGCATGGAAGGTTGATTTTCACTACTTATGTCTGCAGAAACAATAGCATATAATGGGTGTTTAAAACCTGTTTTGTAAATATGAAAAACATTTGATTTATGCATTCATAAAACAATCTCCATAAAATCATGTTTAACTTCAAAAATACAGATTTAAATTATGGTAAACCAATAGTTAAAGTATCAGGAGCTCTGTTCTGGTTCTTGCAGTGCTCAAGTACTTATATTATGTAATCTCAAAATAATAAAATACGTCGACTGCAGAGAAGAGAACACAGACATATCTCTGGCCCAATGCATAGACTTTTAATCCGTCTCACACACACACACACACACACACACACACACACACACAACACAAGGGATATTGTGAAACTTGTGAACTGTAA